CCTTGTCACAGCGCAGGACGGGCGCGCTGCGTGTGGGACCCGCCGGGGCCGCAGTCCGGGCCCGCGGGGCGCCCTCCCGAGGCACACCCGGGGCTCTACTACGGCGCGGACGAGCAGTGCCGCGTGGCCTTCGGCCCCTCCGCGGTCGCCTGCACCTTCACCCGGGAGAACCTGGTGAGTCCCCGCAGCGTGGTGCCCGGCCATCCCGTCCCTCCTGGAGGCCCCCTCTGCCCGCATCCAGCAGCCCCCTCCGCGCGGCGCACGCCCCGAGGTGCGCCGTGGGAACCCTGGGCCAGGCTCTCAGCTGCCTCTCAATCCCCAGGCTCTGGGCCGGGGCTCCACGTCTGCGTTTTGACTGGGGCTCGGCCCCTGAGCCCATGATCCTTGATTCTAAATAGGCAGGTTCCAAGGGCTTGCAACCCAATGGGAGCTGGAGGGCTTTCCAGAGGAGGTGACCCCGCCGAACCCTGCAGCAGGCGCCAGCTGGCAGGGGGCGGGGTGAAAGGAGCAGGCACCCCAAAGACAGACTTTCTCCCAGGGCCACACTGGACGCCATGGGCCCCAGGCACTTTTGCCTCTGTGGGCCCCTTCCTCCGTGCAAAATATTAAGAATTATATCTCAGTGTTTTTATAAAACATATAAACTTTCATGTGTGTTAGTATAAAAACAGATATGTTAATATTATAAACTAGAACATTTTCTTTGATCTGAAAACTTACTTTTTTCTTCTGATGTTAAAAGAAATGAAAACACTTTCACGGGTCCCTAAAAGGACTGTGGGCCACCGTCCCTGTTCCTGATGGACAAGTCAGCCATGCTCATCCTCCCGGCCACCAGTGCCACAGAGCAGTGTGGCTGTCACTGTGCCCTGCAGCCTGGGAGGGACAGTGAAGGCCGGACACTGACCTAACAGGCCCTGGTGGCCCCTTTGCTGGCCACCTGCCTCTCCTCTTAGGACATGTGCCAGGCTCTCTCCTGCCACACAGACCCGCTGGACCACAGCAGCTGCAGCCGCCTCCTCATTCCCCTCCTGGACGGGACAGAGTGCGGCCTGGAGAAGGTCCGAGCGGGGAGCAAGGGAGCGTATGTGAGCCTGTGTGAGGGTGTGTGGGAGCATGTGAGTGTGGGAGCGTGCGTATGTGAGCGTGCGTGAGCATGTGTGCATGTGTGCTCATGCATGCTTGTGCAGGGCACCTGTAGCCTGGCAGCCCTGATTCCTGGGGTGGGAGACAGGAGGACACAGTAAGCCAGGGCAGAGGGCCCTGGAGCTGACCTTGGTCACCTGGTCAGGAGTGGTGGGCAGCAAGATGCCGCATGTGCACTGTGGCTGTGACCCCTGGTGTGAGGTGCCCACAGGTGTGGGGTGCTTGCAGGGTGCCCGTGGGTACAGGAGATTGGCTGTCCTTCTCTTGTAGTGGTGCTCCAAGGGTCACTGCCGCTCCCTGGCAGAGCTGACCCCCATGGGGGCTGTGCACGGGCACTGGTCAGCTTGGGGTCCCCCCAGTCCTTGCTCCCGCTCCTGCGGAGGAGGTGTGGTCACCAGGAGGCGGCAATGCAACAACCCCAGGTATGGGGGTGGGTGGGG